CGGTATTTATAAATAAAAGATTTCTACTTTTCTCATGAAAATTGTCTCGCTTTACTTATCGATAAAAATTACTTTATGCAAGATTATATTATTACAATTATGACGTCCCTAATATAATTACGAATAATATAGCATTATTTTGAAGCACAACGTAAACTACGTACAAGAAATTATATTAAAGTACAAGAGTTGAAAGAGCACGGCTATACAAAAGTTTATAAATAAATTATAGCAGCCCGGATTAATTTGAACTATCTAAAAAGTCTATCGCGTATCTTTGAAGTCTTCGGCACTTTCCCCGAAATTCGCAACAATAATTTCGCCGGATTTTACGCTGTTAGGAAACCGATTTCGATATCGCCTCGTACGTTCATTACTACAGAATCTGTACCCGGTAAAAGTTATACTTGAATTACGCGGAATGATTTCTAAGGACACGCGAACCCACGGCTGCCTCTGACAACGTCGTTATCGGTAACAATTCCAATTTACCAGTGCCATTTGGCCTGCTCGATATCGATCGAACGTCCCCTTACCCCTCGTTTCTACCTCGTTCTCCTTAGAAGTCGTTTTAAATTGAAAAACCGGAGTATGCGGGGCCCAAAAGACAAAGAGGCGAGCGAGCGCCGCGGTACCGCCGATTTGTGGATCCGACTTTCCATTAGCGAAATAGCATTTTCTCCTTCAGTCGGTCGGTCGGTCAGTCGGTGGGTCGATCGCCACTTTCAGGCACCCTTCTCGCACTCTTCTATTTATCCCTGCAGCCGACGACGTTCAAAAATCAGGCAGAAATCTAAAACCGAATGTAATTTGCTTTCGACGATCGCTGAAAGGTTGTGTCGCGATCTCTCTTAGCGTCATATTACTTATGACAATTCTTTTCCTAAAATCTGCCGGTGTTCCCGTGAGAATTTAGAAAGGTTATATTACTTTCAACTTTCCGGCTCGACTCGCTGTCAACTTTTCTGCTCGAAATAAGACCCGACTTGTGCAAATAAATTATAAATAAAGTACCGTCAAAAATGATAAAAATTGTCCAACATAACTTGGCAATATTATTAGTATAAAGTAAATAATTAAAAATTTATTTATAATTTATTGTGTCTATATTAGGATATTTAGAAGAAAGTCCCCTATTATGAGATAGCCTCTTAATATAAGACAGTAGAGTTTCTGCTAAATTGGCATCATCTGTTGGTCCCACCATGAATTGATTGCCCTTGGAGCAAAAATCTGTTTAATAGAACATTTATTGTTACTAGTAGATCGCGTAATCGTTGCGAAAAAAGATTTGTCATTAAATTTGGATGTTAAAAACCTACTATCTCATAGAATTAGATTCCTATCTTATAATAGAGGACTTTTCTCTCATTTTTAAAATAATCTAAAACGTTAGAAACGAGGAAATAAAAAATTCAAGAAGCATTAGATTTTTAGCAATTTTTACTATGCATTTTGCATTGGTAATGGTAAGATTAATTATAGTTTATCTGATTTTTTACTCTATTAGTTATTATTAATGTAAAAAATATGTTTTATATCGATTGTCGCGACTCAGTTATGATGAATAATATTGAAATATTGAAATCATTATATGCCACACGTGTGTCTCATTATAATTTTGGTGACCAAAATTAACAGTTTATTTTTATTTAGTCCGAATTTTAGAATTCTCTGTATTAATTTCTGGTTATAACAGTAATAATTGAAACTATTATATAATAACATAAACTGTCAATATAACGCTATTAACATAAAGCTAAACGGATGCACTGTTCAAAGGATTAATGAAATGCTATTACAAAGACCAGGGACAAAAGTAGTATGAATTTTACGTTATCGATCATGCAGATATAATATTGCATAAATTTACAAGAGTTATGTATTGTTTAATTACAGAGAATGCGTGGGCCGAAGTTTTAATTATAAATCACCAAATTGAATTACACTTTCTATTTTTACAAAATCTCTGTCGCACAATTCGGTGGCTGTTTCATGTAATGAAATTCATTGACAATTCGATAACTGTTTCATATGATAAATTTGCAATTGAACTTTTCTTGAAAACGTGATTAACGAGCTTTTTACACGTCTTTAATACACGAAATTAATTAAACTTTTGTAATCTAAATTTACATTAAGATGTTTTCAGGTGTAGATTTTAATTTTAAATTAAGAGATAAATAATGTTACTTTATCTTAACATTCACATTCACAATTTAATTTGATATATAGAAATTCTTCATTTTGAGTTGTTTCTACATATAACTCAAGAAGTTCACCGAGTTTAATATTAAGTCCCGACTATTTGAATAATTATAAAGTTAAAAACGTTAATGCTTCATTAACGGTATATTTCTTATGAAAA